CAAAGCCACACAGAGTTAGTTTTTCTCTTTCTATTGCTCTTGTTTTTCTGTCTTTCTCTTATTTTGTCTTTGCTTGTACTTTTTTTATTTTGCATTTTGCGAAGCACAAAGAAAAACATCTAAAATGTATGTGAATTAGCAAGTTTTTGAGTTGTTTTTATTTTCCGTGCTCAGGCTAACGTAAGTGACTGGAAGTGAAATTTCACCTCCTTAGCAATGCGCGCGAGCGCGTGCATGAATTGGTTAATGGGCCCTTAAGATGTGTTTTAGTTACTGAACTCAGTCTACATGATCTAAAATATTAATGTTGGTGATGGTTTTGCTTTTTTCTGATAGCGAGCAGATCCCGAGATGTTTCTTCCACTAGATAGTATTCAGGTCAAGCCTGTCAATGAAAAGTTGAGGCAGATTGGTGGCACTGCAAAACTAGTCATTGATGTGATTAAATATGAACCAGCAGTTATTAAGGTACTTCCATCATTAATTGAGATACTTCTTTAACCAGTAGATACTTCATATTTAATATTGTTAAGCCTTGAAGGAAATACCGTGTCTAAATAAAGATTTTACCTTTACCTTACCTTTACCTTATATCAACAGAAATATACTATGGTCTTCAGACATATCCTGTAGTCTTGTAATTTCTGTAGGCTGTCAAACTGAATTGTTTAGAGTCATACATATGTGCAATGAGGGCAAATGTGACCTTACACGAGAAAATGTACACTAACACTTGTCCGTTAAATGGATGAAACCGCTGGTCATCATTTCTTATCCGTAAAAACGCATAGTAAAAACTGTTTTAAGAGTTAGCCAAACCATTTAATGATAATGTGAAACTGTTTAAACGTTGAACGAAACTGTTAAGCAATTTTTTGATTCGTCGGCAAGGTCAATCTGTTTGCAAAATTTTATTATCCATCAGACATATGACAAGCCCTAGCCGTTGCAAAAAAATTTACCATCTCTTTGAAACTGCAAACTCTTTCTGTTAGGGACCTCAAAGTGTCCGCTAAAATGGCTGGCCATATTCATTTGGAAAATTTTGCCATACATTAAAACAGCTTGCTCTAACCAATAACAATCTTAGCATCTGTTGAAATGGTGCAAGTTTTGTCTGTTTTATTATCCATAAAGGTAAGATTAAGAAACATCAGGAAACATAGGCTTATTTTACCATATCCATTTATTATCATTCATTTACTTCTGTTTTGTTGAAGTGGCAGACTTTCAGACTTTTCAGGAAAACTCGATCCATTTTTGACTCCAAAGTCTTGCATGTAGAAGAGTAAACTAAGTATTTGTATCCTATCCATGGCTGTCAGCTGTGAAAACTTCAATGCACTTTGCTGTGTATGCAGGTATGCGTGCGGTTGTGTCAAGCAACAATAATCTAAGCTTACACGTTGTACATTTTGAACTGCAGAATGTTGAATTCATCTTTGCGTATAAGATTTGTTTTGCAAGCAAATAACTTTGAAAACAAAGTGCGAAAGAAAGCATAATAACTTTGAAGTTTTTGTTGTCATCAATGTCTTGATCATTCATTTACTGGTTTAAGCTAAGTTAAGTTTACATCACTATTTTTTTCTTGCTGTTTCTGCAGACTATGCTGTCATTACCTAATGATGTTGCAATTGATTTATAGAAAGCCCTGCAATTTGCCTGTGCAAATGCCCTTGTCTGTGATGGAATGGAGGAAGCCCGTAGGTTGGCTTTTGGTGGAGCAGAGAGAAAGAAGACAGTTTCATTAGATGGAACTCTGTTTGAAAAGTCTGGTGTCATTTCTGGTGGAGTGAGGTACTATCAGTAGCAGTACCAGATTCCTTAGATTCCTTCATGTCTTTCGAACTCCAGTATTAATGTACTAATTAACTTTGATAAGTTAAAAACAGAATATTCGTTTGAAATAGTTTAACTACAGTCATAGTGACAAACTGTGTAGCAAAAAATTCTTTCTTCAAAGAAATGCTTTAAAGTGTCTGCACAACAGATTTGGACAGCAATGTAGGAACTCCATTGTGTTTGTTTGTTTTTGTTTTTGGCATGAAGTGAGGTAAAGGCCAAAGCCAGACGATGGGATGAAAAACAAGTTGATGGACTGAAACGTAAACGTGACAGTTTCTTGGTGGAATTAAAAGATCTTAGCAAACATCGTAGAAAAGAACCAGAACTTCAAAACTTGAAGTCACAGATTGATGGACTTGAACATCGATTGAGATACTCTACAAAGGACAAAGAAACTACAGTAAGTTACTAAGTCTTTGTCCTAACAATGGTCTGCCACAGAGGGCCTAAAAATATTTAATAATTATCTTTTAAACATGTCTCAAAATTATCATTTAAACTGTCAGTTTTGGTAAAACTTAGAGCAGCCATAATTTCATCCATTTCCCAGATTTCCACTCATTTTTTTGTTGTACCTTTGCAGAAATGCTGAAAGTGTATTATGTATTGAAATAACCCCCATCAACTACTGTAGAGCTGTTTGAAATGTAACACTACTTAGACATGAATAACATTTGTATCACATTGATGTCAATTTTTAGGAGAAACAAACTTTGGGTGAGATTTCCAAGGAATTGAAGGTCATCAAAAAAGAACTGGATACCCTTCAGGTATAGTTAGACAACTCTTTCATGATAGTTTCATTATCTCCTGATTAGGATACACAAGACTAATATTACATGTTTTCCTTGACACTTGCAACAGGTCAGACAAACTTCAATCATGGACAAAAGTGTTGACACATTTGAGCAAAGCAAACGCTTTCTATTGGCGTCCTTCTGTAATTTCAAAAAATATCTTTTTTGTCGATAGCCAAACCCCCCTCTCCCCCTTTTCAATGTTGAAATACGCTCCGTGGACACTCGCGTGGTTACAACATTGAAAAGGGGGGAGGGGGTCGAAATGTGAAAATTGGAGATTGAAAAACTCACACGTTCAACGAAACAGGTCTTTTTTGGGGAGTGTCTCAACTGCTTTTGTCCATGATAGTCTGAATTATATTTTACACAGTGTGAAGCTTTCTCAGCATCATCACTGTTCCATCTACTCAGTAGTACTTAGCATCATTGTTTAGCAAACTATAAATCCTGTTGCGCACCAGTAGAGTGCAATTATTACACCACATAGCTTAATTATTGGTGAGAATTATTTCACGAAATGGTTTTCGAGGAGACATTGAGTCAGAAAGGCAAAAATATGTTTTGTTTTTTACGTAAATTCTGTTTTTTACAGTTCACATTAGCAAGACATTAGATTTCAATTGGTTTACAATGGTTTACAACTGTTCACAACGGTTCACATCCCCAATTAAAGAAATAAAAGATACTCTTTTTTGTGGTATGTGAACTGTTGTAAACCGCTGTGAACTGTTGTGAAGTGTTGTGAACCATTGTAAACTGTTGTGAATCATTGCAAAGCCACCTCAGGGCATATATTCTGAATATATCCTCAAAGACAGAAGCAGAAAATCTAGTTTTTATGGGTGGCAACTGTTCCCGAGAAGAGTCGCATTGTCAGCGATAGCTTGTGTCATGCCAGACTTCTGCTGTTGAGTTCAATCACTGGGTTTATTATCAGCAAAATCACTTAGATGAATTTCGCGAATTAAAATCTACATGGACATAACTTTGGGTCTTTACTTTGCCACATTATATTACAAACACGATTTGTTGTTTTCTAACGTGTGTGGACTCAATTTGTGCTTAGCGAGACCACTAACTATTGCAGCGTGCCAAAGTGGCCGCCAATGCACGGAGACTGGAAACGAGTCTGCAGAAAACTATTCTTCACTGCTCTTAAGCCTCCAAATCCTGACCTAAAGTACAACTAGACGGTTTCTGTTGCAGTGTTTATAGTATTTCAGTATTTTCAACACATATATACTACAATTTCTATTTATTTTCGCTGAAAGGCAATTTCAGACAATCATGGACACAAGTGTTCACACATTTGAGCAAAACAAACGCTTTCTATTGGCGTCCTTCCATAATATCAAAAAACATCTTTTTTACCAATAGCCAAACCCGCTTCTCCCCCTTTTCAATGTTGAAATACACTCCGTGGACACTGTCACGTGGTTAAAACCTTTAAAAAGGGGGGAGGGGGTTGAAATGTGAAAATTGGAGATTGAAAAACTCACACATTCAACGAAACAGGTCTTTTTCGGGGAGTGTCTCAACTGCTTTTGTCCATGATTGTTGGTACATGGTTATGTAACGTTCTCACATAATTATGATCTATAATCTTATTTGGGACCTCTAGTCATTTAAGTGCCATATTTAACAGATTAGACTAATGTAATTGCGTAGTTTAGGACTTGACATACTCCCTTTATCACTTCAGTTAAGGTTTGTCTCTTGGGCCACAGAAGTCACTAAATATTGTGGATGAAAGCACTTGTAGCCAGCAAATCATGCCCTGAGTTGATAATTTTTTTTCTAGGAAGGGCTTTGGACGTAACATGTTTTAATTGGCTCAGTATTAGTCATCTTTCATCAGCTACATGTACTTCATGTAGGTGATGACAGTTGTGGAATGAAACTGAAACTTGTAAAACTCTGGTACATGCCTTTGTAACTTCAGAGATTGATTATTGCAACTCTTTGCTATATGGTGCCCCTAAATACTTGTTACATAGGCTCCAGCGAATGTTAAATTTCGCTTCAAGAATAGTGTACCGGTCAAAAAAGTACGATCACATAACGTCTCTCCTCATGGAACTTCATTGGCTACCCACTGAACAGAGGATTAACTTTAAAATTCTACTGATTACATTTAAAGTGCTACACAACCAAGCTCCTACGTATTTAATTGACTTACTTACTCATTATCATCCCTCGAGATTACTTCCTTCATCTGCCAAAAACTTGCTTTGGAATCAAACCTACATGTATAATCTTAAAACTTATGGTGGGCATTCTTTTGCCGTTGCTGTGCCATTGTTGTGGAAGCCTCCCCAAATCTGTCAAAGATTTTACATCACTTGACACTTTTAAACATAGACTCAAAAAGCATCTTTTCTTGAGTGCTTCCTGTGGATGCTGATTTTTTATTGTTTCATTATGGTTTTACTTTTTTTTAGATAATTTTAATACGTTTTTGGTTAATTTTTAGTGAGTTTTAAATCTGTAGAACGCTGTTGAACCACTGGGAAACAGGCTATATGTGTATTATTATCATTACCATGACCATTACCATTACCATTACCATTACCACTGCCACTGCTACTGCCACTGCCATTGCCATTGTCATTGTCTTTGTCATTATCATTATCATTATTATTAGTTTAATCAGTTTTTTTTATCAAAACTTTAGTATATGAATAGTGTTTTTTCTCTTATCATAGAATCTTATCTTGTTATCATATTATGATAATATTGAAAGTCTGATGTTTAAATGCTAACTGGGCGTGTGTCCACTAATTTTAGAAAGTTGATGATGGCATGAGCTTGTGAATTAGTATTTTAGGATCCCATGATATTTTTATTTTCATCAAAATTTTAGTCTACGATATTGGAATGTGTGAAGATTTGTAAATGGGTTTTCTGAGGAGATTTTAATAATGTTGTTGTTGTTGTTATTATTATTATTGTTCTAACCCAGTAAATAAGGAGCAGAATATTCATAGAATTTTCAGTGGACCAGTGAGTTTATGGCTCCTGGTAAGGAAGCATAAAAAAAGGGATGAATGGGATGAATGGGATAGCAGGACGTGTAACTGTCACAAATAATAAGAATTAAGAAGCCAGTTGAGAATCAGGATGGCCCAGGCCACCTGGTTAAAACAAAACAAAAAAAACAAAGAAAGAAAGAAAAGAAACTATAATGAACAGCACAATAATATTTGACAATCATTTTATTTGTTATTGTTTACTTTAGCCAAAAAGAGAGAAGTTGCTGCTCTCTATGGCTGCAAGAAGTGAAGAGATTACCAATACAGAAAAAAGAATGAACAGGGTGGAGGACCAGGTAAGCCATTCTTATTATCTTCATATCATCTTTTTTTTCTTGTTGTGCCCCTGGATTTATAGCTGTAACATGACACAGATAAGGTGTATTTGACACACAGATTTTTGGGAACTGTAAGAGGTGATACTTGATGAGGCCAAAGGCTTAATCAACTTCACATTCAGCTTTAAAAGTCATTTTACCTTTATCCAAATTTGCAGTTAGCCAGTCAGAAGTTGTGTCTACTGTCCTGATATCCTATGACATCAAGTCACTTACCCTGATATAGCTACAATATCATGGTCACTTTCATAATGTGTAATTTTCTGTGAGTTAAATTGAGAAGAGGTTTTAAAAATAGAATATTAAGCTTGCAGTAAGATATCAAGCACTTCTTCTTGGGAATTATGGAATGTCAAAATTTTCTTGCCAAAACTAAACTCGTTGTGTGTGCCTTGTAACTAGAATGCCTGTCAGATTACTGTAACATGAAAAATAACTATGGGATTTTGGCTGAATTTGGGTAAATAATATCTTATGGTACATGTAACTTGTCTGGTCTTGCCATGAGTATTTTGGGTAGGCTATGTATTACCAAAATACATACCAAACCTGTTATTTTCAATCCAGTTCATTGTTAGTCAACTTTCAAACAAATGGATTCAGTGTATTAACTCATTGCCAACAATCTTTTTAAAGTAGTGACTGATACTATTCTTCACAGTGACTGATACCTACCATTCCTGGAATATTTTGCCTCCACTACTCATCTGGACATGCATAATGTGACTAAATTGGGCATGTTAGACAACCCAGCCACTGCGATTTATACAATGTCAACAGATATTACAAGGATGTGAAAACTAAGTGCAACAAAGCCCAAAAAACCAGCAGGTGGAAAAAATAAGGAAATGTGTGCCCCCAACCAAGGCAGTGGTGCCACCCTTGGGGTTTTAGGGTAACATAATTAAACATAGTGTACACAAGTATAATAAATTACAGTGATGTAGTGAAACAACAGCACTAAAGAAATATAAACTATAAGAAAGTAACATTTATGCATAACCAAGAAAAAGAAAACTAACTTTACGGTGAAGCGTGACCATAGAATGTCTCACCCTGCCAATGGCATCTAATTTCAAACTCTGATCCCGTTGAACACTGGGCACCTCAAACCTGCCCCCAACCCTCTGCTCCATGCCGCCAAAATAGTAATTTCTGTTAATTTGGGATTATCACAAATTACATAATATATTTCTCTTGTTTCTTAACAGGTTTTCAGAGGATTCTGTGAGCAAATCAATGTGGAAAACATTAGGTGTGTTGGTATCTTAAAATCTTAATTAAAATCTTTTCTTCAGCTTCCTGAATTTGCTGTGTATGCACTAGTTACTAGGTTTGTTTAGTTCCCCATCCACTTCAAGTTGACAAAACATATCATGGTTGGAATATTTTTATGCTTACCTGCCTAAGTAACCATATTTTTCTTAGGCTGGGTATTGGCAAAGATTGGAGATAACTGGCTTTTAGAGCAGCAAGTTACTTTAGTGCTAGCAGAATATGTGTGAAAGCGGTACTTACTCTAATTTTGGAAGTTGCTGTCAGTAATAATAATTCTGAGCTTGAGGCTCTCTGAAAAAATATATATACCTTGGTTTTTATTGCATTTGATGTTAGGAGAACGCATACTAATCAGGTCATTCCAGCGGGTTTTTGTCCCGCGATTTTCCACGATGCCAGATGATTTCAGGGTTTGGACGCCATCTTAGACTGGCTGGCTGGTACAAATGGCCTCGATCTCATGTGAAATTTTTTTGGCTGCTGGGAATTGGTAGGTAATAATAATGGTGTGTTGCGGGCCAAATCTATCAGCTTCAAAGGTCTTGTTTCGTTCCTATCATGGAGAAATTACTGCTTTGAGATTTAAAATAGAAAGGAAAAAATGCAAGTCAATAACCAGGTGGCCTCAGAATGGAAGGTCAACGAGTACAGAGTCCTCGAACCATGACGATCGGTTGTATGCTTTCAAGTAAGTTTTGAATATTGATCCTGGACTTTAGAAAACAAAAATAGTAATGTACAGTATTGCTTCAAAGCTAAACTCAACTTTTGGAACAATTGGTAACGCCACAGCCGATAAAATGACTGTAAAGGTTGGAGAAGTTTTTGGCAAAAACTCAAGCTTTCACTCTAGTGTGAAGAATTAATTTGAACAGGCTGATTTGCAGTGAAGCACGTCTGCGAAAATTTTGAACACTTTTTTGCTTTTGGTTTCTTCGCCTCGGCGTGAATGAAAATTTATTGTTATTGAACTTCCTTTTGCATTTCTATTCATTTGGTTCTGTGTATTTAGGAATTTAGGTTCTAAAAGTGAACAGAAACTTGGATGCTTGATTTCTGCATATTTACTTTATGGTGACCTCCACGTGGTTTGTTTGTTTAGTTTATTCAGTTTCATTCGAATATATTTTTTGGAGTCTTACTCAGCTACTACAGAACTGCCAAGAAAAGAACTAAGTGGCCACTAATTTAACACGGTTGAAATACGATTGATCTCAAAATAATTGGCCTATTTTCGTCATGTTTTTGATTTACAACTTTCATGTTTCGCTGCGCTGTGATATTTTGTCACGTGGTAAAGAAATTATTTTATTTCTTGTTTTCAAATTGGCTTTTACTTTGTCTTTTGCTTTTATTTTCTGTCGTTTTCTCAAATGTTTTCTGTTATTTGTTCTCCGAAGTCAATAATTAACTCATTTCATTTCTTGTTTTCTTATCAGTTTTACACATCAGGTTGAGTTTTTTTTGGTGATATTTTTTTACTATTTTAGCCCTTCATTTATTCAACTTTAAATAAGCGATCTTGATCTTGTGTGTGCTAATTTAAGATACCAGGTTAAGAATAGTGTGCCAAACACTTTATCATGAATTTGTGTAAGAATTACAATAGTGTCCTTTTGGTGTAGAAGTGAACACTATCAAAATAAATTATGAGTTGGTCATGAAAATCAACAAAAATAAACTGGGCTTCAAGAGTAATATTTATTCTGAGAATCCATGTAGCTCAGTGATAGATTCCATGCAAATAGTAGATGTATTCTGGAAATTATTGCAATAATTGTTTAAAAGGAGATTTGTTTCTTGGAGATGTTAATGGAGACTGGGGTTGCCTAAGTGAAAGCCTTAAATTCTGTATAGTATGAAATATTATTTAGTATGAAATATTAATAGAGAGGGTATTTCGGGTACTCAGCCTACAATCAAATGTCCAAATACTAACTGAATATCCGATGCTATAACCCAAAAATGTCATGTTCCTAGCAACACACCCTATCGACAAATTGCCAGAGTACCCCCTTCCTTCCCCCAGGTATCGAATGCACTTCACTAATCTCTGATTAGTACTAGTTAGTTATTATTTGTTCATATGTTATAATAAAATTATTTACTTTTAAATTTATTTTTCATTTATGTGGAATACCTGTAAATTAGCTGGTGTGTCATTATGTAATGTCACACCTGAATAGCTAAGCTTGTGACACAATAAACATGTATTGTTGTCTTTCTTTGTCGGTGATATTTAAGAAGTAACTTAGGAGCACTATCTTTTACCTAGTGCATACAGTTTCCTCCCCACAGGACACTGTCTGCAAGTGTAGTAAATCAATTGATATTAATTCATTAATTTTATCTTTAAGTAATTGTAAATACCTGGTGGGGTTTTTGTGTGGATTGCAGGGAAGACTGATTTTTCCCCCAGTTATTTTAAGTATAATTTTATGAATTCTTGGTTACTGTGGTTAAATTATAATTTAATAAAGCTTCAAAGTGCAGTTACTGGTGCCTGGTGCCCTAGGCTCTCACTGGGTTGTTACCATTTATAGTGGAGCTCCTGCACACCGAAGGTGCTCAAGCAGAGCCCCATACCTTAAAAGATTTGGTAACCCATTGATCTGAAAAATTTTGGTTGTCACATGACTGTCTGTACGTATGTATGTCCGTCCATCCGTATGCCAATACCTTGAAAACTGAGAGTAGCACCATTCCCATAGCTACATCTTTGATGTTGGGCATCCACGCTATTGTCAATTGACAGCTGTCACAACAAGCTATCCACTGACCAGTATCATGTGAGCATATCGCAGGCTCAGGTTTAGCGCTCATGGAGGTTGTGTGTTTTTTGAACTTGACTGCTGAACAGTTGCTGGTTTTTCGATATGACGTGTGCTCAAGTCTGGTTATTTCTCTGGGGGAGAAGGAGGGAGTACTTGCAAACGCAAAATTTTGGCGCAAATTAACCCCTGGCGTGTTGTTGACTTTTCTTCTGACATATTCCTTGCACAATCGTCTCTTGGAAAGTCCCTGATATATTGCGTATGTAATTTCTACAATCTTGGTAAGGCTTATTAGGTATAGTTTGTTAAAATTTAACTGGAAAAAATAGCAAAACCACAGGCTGAACAATTACATGCTCACAATTGATCATTTTTTGAGTTTCTGATCCAAGAAAAAATAATTCTCTTTTTTCTTTATGGTCAGTTACCAGTATTGCAATCAGGAGCTCCACTTTTAGGCTTGGCTAAATCTATATGTTATTATGTTATTTGCATGTCTTTCTTTTCTCAAAAGAACAGTGAACACTTAGCCTTTCACAAATACATGTTGCAACACTATCTAATACGCTTCTATATCATGCATTGTGTATGGCTAGTCTTTTAAATATCTCCATTCATCTCCTTCAAAGTTGCACAAGATCCTTACTTTCTGTGGTACATAATTCACCATTGGCCTAAACCCAGACAGCTGTCTGGCTATAAAGAGTTCTAGCTTGAACTTTAGCATCATTGGCTATACCACTATTGTAAGTGTTTGTAATCTTCTAAAATGATAACTCCCACCCTCCCTCCCTTTTGAGGCTTGATTGTTATTATTTGAATAAATTTGGGTTCACCTCTCATATGGTGCTTTTGGTTATCTCTCACAGCAACCTCCCCAAGCTTTGTTTTCTTTGCGATCTTTACACCTATTCTTGCCAGACCCAGCACATGCCGGCGGAGTCGGCTCATAGTAGATTTGAGCAAGTCGCAACTGTGCAAACTCTATCACAATGCTGACCAGAGGTTTCAGCTGGTAGTGCCGTTTCAAGTTAGGCTTCTAGTATGTGTAAACTTTTACCCTCCCAACTTGTTTAATACAGTGCAGGTTTCACTGTTCTAAAGCCTGTTCCCTGGGTGGGGGAAGGCTTACAGTTTCACATTGCATACATGTTCATTTATTTAATGGTTGCAGTTTGTGTTCATTATACTCCACACAACTGTTGGAGTCTCTAAGTAACAGTCTAGTAATAAATCCTGTCTGTTTATTGGTTTATTTCAAAGGCAATATGAAGAAAAGCAACTTAAAGCTCAGCAAGAACGAGCTCAACGGCGTCTGGAGTTTTCAAATCAAGAGTCTCGCTTGATGAATCAGGTCAGGAAATGAGATAAAGCATTGGGTTATGGTGTAGTTCTGACAATCATGTAATATACGTGAATGCACCAAGACTATGCAAATAATTTTGTCTTGGCCAATCGGTGCTCAGCATTTGAAAACATGAGTATGCTTGAAGGCTTGTAATGTCTTCATGGAAGGATTAGAATGTCTTAGACATTAGCCGACCTACAAATTGAAGAGAAACATGTTTAATGTATATAAGTAACTGGAGTAGCTTGAAGTCAGAACAACCCTGTGCAGTTAAAGTTTATCCGAGAGGAGAGGAGTGATGAGAGTGAGTGAAATCTTTTGTTTTGCTTCTCAGTTGTGATTCATCCTAGTCAAGATAGCCAAGCTAACTTGTTATGACCTTCTCGTAACTATTGAATATTCATGAGTCAAAAAGGGGTGTTTGAACAAGAATGTTTCAGGGGGACTTTCAAGCACAGTTTGCAACTAATTTTTATTCTTAAAACAGGAAAAGTTATTTTGCGGAGAAATAGCATTTTTCATATACTTCAAATTCAAGTGGTGAATGTCAGAATGTTTCATGCAACTTTTTTGAGCAACTGTAATGTTATATTTTTAAGCAAAAAAATAGTTAGACTTTAACCACCCATTTAAGGTATCAGTGTACCCCAAATGACCGTCATTCTTTGGCACAGCTTTACGGTCCGATGTTTGACCCAAACCTCAGTAAAGTATATAAAGCTTAATAATTGAAGGGGTGAGTGCAAAACCATGCTAAGTGATGATTTGGGTGAAAAAAAAAAATTGCGTGAAAGGGCTTGAATCTTTGCATGTGATCTTCAATGTAATAGAAAAACGTGGTCCTGTATTTTTGTCACTGGTTTTTGCTTTGTTTTCGAGTTAAAACGTATGCAAAAATACTTGGCTTTTCCTAGCCATGTCTTTAGGAGTTTATTTGTTGAACAGCAAACAGGCAGACTGTTTATAGTGTATGAAGTCAAAATCAAATCTCACAGCAGATATAGAGTGGAAATCTGGCAACAGATTGTTTACATCGGTTATTGTGACGTGAACACAACAAGTGAATCGAGTGAGCGTCAAACGAAATACATCGAACAAAAAAGAGATGTGCTGCATTAGAGCTCTGTCAGCTAATATCTTAAGCGTTGTTTTAAAGTGATGCTGATACCTTGACTTTGCAGTGATTAAGATGTCCCGTGTAAAATGAAAAGGAAACACCAAAATGTATTGCTTATTCTAGATAAACAAAGGAACTTTTGAAGGCATAAATGCATTTCTTGGTCTTGAGACCTTGACTTACCAGGTTCCCTAGCCTGTTCGTGTTCCACTGACCAAGTGTCTGGAACAGGCAGGTTTCACTGTATGTTTGACATTCTTTTAAGTTATAAGGCCCAAAAACAGTGTGTAATGAGTTAATGCTGCAGACTGCACTCAGGTTAACCTGTTCACATGTAGTTTTCATTATTGTAATGATAACTTGATATAATATACTAAAAATTCTCAGTAGTCTGCAACTGCCATACACCTTTTTTGGACCAAAATGCTTAAAAGGTAACAAAATGAACTGAAACCTGGCAATAGAAGGTCTCAATTGAACAATGCCTAGATACCTTCAAAGTTTCTCCTGCACGTTTACCAACATCTAGCATCTTAAGTTTGTTTTGCTTTTAAATTGCAAATTTTCTATTATGCAAATTGATTTCAAAATGTTATGAAAATATACTGTCCCATTTTTTTTCAGTGGTGAGAAATATTTCCACTAAAATTTAAATCTGAATCCTTGTTTACTGGCAAACCCGCAGTGGTAGTTGAGACACTTTAGAAAACGACACTTTTCGATATTCAACCCCTTATTCTATTTCATAAGCATCTAGTGATAATTCCACTGCCCCGCCCAATTCAATGTTGTGTAGGTGCTATGGTCTAAGCAGTCTTAGAAATAGAAAAATCAACATTGTTTGGGGGGGAGGGGGAAATGTGTCCAAGACAGCTGACAGTAGAATTTCACTGTGAAGTGTCTCAACAATTGTGGCTCATTGCAGCTGCTGCCTACTTTTAAAGTTAAACCTCCTATTGTCAACTTTTGTAAGAGGACTGGTAAACCTATCCTCAATTTGTCTTTTTGCAGTTGGAGTATGAAAGAGGTAGAGACACGAAAGGTATGTAAAATAGTTTAAATTTTGCTGAGTATTATGAGTGAAAACTAAAAGATAAGAATAATAGACCAATTTTTGATAGATTAAAATTCAGCCTAACACAGTAGACCTCAGCACAAGGCTCTGGGGAATAAACCCCACAAACTCTGAAGTTATTCCCCAGAGCCTCGTGCTGAAGTCTGTTGTGTTAGGCTGAATTGTGATATATCGAAATTGATCTATTCAGGATGTACACTACTAAGAATGTTCCATCAGAAAAGGTGGCTGTGGAAATCAGGATTTTTGAACTTTTTACTGTGGAAAAAGAAGAAATATTGGGAACTATAAAAAAGACTAAAATGCCGCCAATTTATGTAAAACACAGAGAATTTGATTCAAAGCATTTAATTGAGAAGGCTTATAAATTTACTACCAAAGCCATCATAATCTTAATCAGAATCAGAATCAGGAGTTTTTCTTCGGAGTTGTTTTCTCTTACACTACACAAACTTTTGTCTTCGCCTTTCTAAATGTTGGTGCACCTTTTCTTCCAAACTCCTTGATTTAGCGGGTTTTATGACGAAAACATTGAAATTATGTTTTCAGGTCAGTTGAAAAAACTTGAGGAAAGCATGGCAACTGATGAAGAAGAAATTGAAAAACTCAGAGGAGAGGAGAAAGAGAAACTGAAGGTTTGCATTTCCAAACCATTACTTGTTCTCATTTTGTATTCAGTTTTAAAGGACACAGGATCGTGTTTAATGTGGTTTCATTACCAGCTATGCCAAGGATACCTTAAAATGTTCCACTTTGTGGCAGCCATCTTGTCAAGTATGATCCATGCCTGCACCAGATTTTTTGAATTTGTATTCTGCCAGTAGAGTCAAAAGCAATGTTTGCATGGATTTTTGTTGTTTCCTCTTGCATTTTCCAGGCCACATAGAGTACCAATGCGTGCTGAAAAACAGTATTGAAGTATCTTTGAAGTATCAGCGCAGTATCAGTGAAATATCAGGATGCTATTGGCCAACTACTAGCAAACTATTAGCAACTGGTGGTTTGTTTGCATCAGTGCTTTTACATTCATTGTTATCTTGGCAGATAATAGAGAGAGAAACATCTATATTGGAAAAGCTGCGTTTGGAGAAATCAGCAGTGAAGTCACAGATTGATGAAAAGGTTGGAGAAAGAGTGCCTATAAATATGTACATTCCTACCTGGACTATTTGACAGTGAATTGTGTCCAAGTGCTATTTATTTTTCAGATAATAATAATAATAATATTTAGTGAGGGAATCCAACTCGCCAAAGGCGGTTTTCAGTGGAGCCCTCCTAAATAAAAATCACCTAAAAATGACATAAATAATAGTTACCTAATAAATTACTACAAGCTAAAATAAATAAGAGTAAAAAGAGTTCGTATTAGTTAAACAATGTGACCCGTATTGTAAGTAACGTAAGTATTGTAGAACTGTGTTTTGTAAATTAAAATTATTTAAAAAAAAAAAAAAAAAAATTAGTTAAAANGTATTGTGCGAGTGAACAGCTTGATTTCTAATGAAACTGAAGTCAAAATCTGTTGACCCAATTAAGCACTTATGAATTGCGGTGCAACGATGAAAAAATTGCCTTAAAGCAAGTGGCTTGAAACCAAGGCTTTTCAAGGCTTGAGTTGACGAGCTTCGGATTGGAAGGCCCAACAGTACTTTAGCAGCAGATGAGAAATAGTTGAAGAGTCCGCAGGGCTGGTCAAAATAAAATAAAAACACTAATGATAGAAAAACATAGCAGTACAACACTCCTAACTGTCTTATTGGAGATTTATTACTTTACTCATATTTATAGTAGACTATCAAAATGAAACACGAAGAGCTTACACTTACTGTTTTCATGACAACTGCCTGTAGATAACTAACGCGACAAAGATCAGTCACACATTTATGCTCACTTTCATTAGACAGAGCGTTGCACCGGGTCATGCAGCAATCAAGTTCTCGTGTTTTTAATTAAAATAAGTGAAAGGTATCTGCTTCCAATTTTTCCCTAGGCCGGTCGTTCCATAAAGAAATTAGTCTATTGAAGAACGACTGTCTGTCACAGTTTAGTCTAAATGGTGTAACAAAAAAAGTTTGTATAGGTGGATAGGTCCTTTAGACTTAACTTTAGTGAATTGAATCCCAATATATTGGCGAGACCTCTCGTCATTCCTCAACAAGGATCAGTGTGCACACTTAAATTGATAAAAAACTATCACATTTTTAAGCACCTCAGCAGCTCTTCCAATAGTAAAACTTGTACAACTCTGATTGTTTTTAAAATTCAAGATTGTGCAAAAACAGTTTATTGTCTCTTACAACCTCAATTGAACACAGATGTTCAACATGTTAACACCTTCTTGTGTTTGTGTTAATCGTTTGTCTGAAGTGGCAGACTCTAATATACACTGAAAAGGTATCTGTACCAGACACGCTATAACAGGTTCTATTATCCCTTTACGTGACTCATTTCTATTCTTGTTACTTGTAATTCAGCTGTTTATGGAAGACCATTCTAATCAATTTCAATAAACTGAAGATGGCATAAGTGACGCTGAAACACGTCTTTAAAAAAAGTTGTTTCATGTTTTTTAAAAGTTTAATATTATGCTACAGTTGAGTTTAAAAGTACACATATTTTTTTAGCCAATCAAATAAAACCAAAACCAAGAGTGACTGGTTGGCATGCATTTTTCTGCGCTGTGCGCCGGGTACACATATTTGCTTGGAGTTTTGATATGTCCACTGGGTTGCAGTGTCTTTTGTGATTATCTAGGATGATTAACAGACTGATTAGTTTGGTTTTGGTTTTGGTTTACGACACTCAGTAGCTGTCAGTAAACTATTGTTGACATGCAAAGGTGGGTTACTTCTGCCGTGAATAATAGCAACTATGTTTTATTTTGAAAACAAGGATCTGGAAATAAAAGAAGTAAAGAAAGGCTTGATGCATCACATGAAAGAAGTCACATCTCTTCAGAAACAAATGACTGCAATGGTAAATATAGTGCTGGTTTTTAAATGATTAATATTATGTTGTGGTTGAGTTTAAAAGCACACACATTTTCTTAGCCAATCAAAAATAAAACCAAAACCAAGAGTGACTCATTGGCATGCGTTTCACTATAGGCGAAGTCTGTATACAAGCCGAACAGGAGTATTTCTACTCCCCCCTGGATGGGATGTTAGGCCATTGCAGGGTTATCCCCCAGCATTAAATTTGCCGGTACCCATTATACACCTGGGTGAAGAAACGCACTATGAGAGTTAAGTGTCTTTCCCAAGAACACAACTCAATGACCTGGCCAGGGCTAAACTTGGACCGCTCTCTCTGGAGTCAAGCGCACTAACCACAAGGCCACCGCACTATAAATCCCTGTTAAAAGCCAGAAAACTGCGCTGCCTGTGAAAAGTGAACAATCGGAAAATTTGCTACAAGCTCCATCATCTATTCAACGTGAAATGTGATTTACCACTTAACACACACAACACAAAATATGACACAATACGAAAATAAATAATAGTTTCTTCCAAATTTAAATCATTTACATGAACTCAGTGTATAATGGGGCTCTTGTGTTGTGTTGTGCACTTTGTAGGAGACTCAACTGGAGCAAAAGAGGGCAGATCGTCACAGCCTCTTAAAGTCTTGCAAGGTAACAGGGTACCACATAAGAAGATTAGCTGTTAAACTGACCCATTTCGTTTCTTTTGTCACTTTTACTATTAAACGTCATTGTTAGGTGATAGTTAACTTTTAATCTTAAGTAGGTTTAGGTTTACAGTCATCCATATATCAGCAGTATTTTATTTGCCTGTTGAATTAGCATTCCATCAATCCACATTTTTTATTCTTACCTTATTAGCTTGGTTACCTTCATTCCTTTTTTTTTAATACTATGACAGATGGAAGACATCTTTCTTCCCTTTAAGAAGGGAGGAATGAATGATATTGATCTGGGAGAACCCTCAGCTAGTCAGCCCGAGACATCAAGTCAGGAGTCATCGTCTACGGAAGTTAATAGCGCAAGCACACAGGTAATGTGTACTTTTTGTCTCATTTGTACATTTACATGTCACCTGTTTAGTTTTGTTTTTTGTTTTTGCTTTTGTGTGTGTGTGTGTGTGAGTTTATTTTTTGTTACTTTTGAGCATTGTCAAAACTTCATGAAGGCTAAGTCCATAAACATTTCCCTACAGTAAGGAATTGTCACAGGGTTACGTGCTTGTCTCGACACACGTGGGGTGGTTGCAGCTGATATTGAATGCTTTTTGTTGCCACATGTTTATGTTATTGACAGCAAAGCTCTGTTGACAGTGGAAAGTTTGCATTTCTGCGTGAAACTCTTGGAGCACTCTGATTCAGCCCTGTAAAAGTTCCCCATGACAGTCTGTGCGTTTTAACTCCACGTAATAATCTTCTCAAAGATGATGAGATTATTGACACTTAATATGTTATAATAAAATAGCAAAAACATTCTTAACCCATTTTTGAGTTAATTGGATCTTTTCTCTTTTCTTTACAAGAAAACATAAACAATATATTGCGGGATTGGACAAGACATATATAGCAACTGCACTATACAGCCAATTACAAAAAGTTGAAATGTACATTTGTTTTTGGCGAGTACTCAGTCCAGTGTGATTTGTGCATACATTTACTCTTGAGAAGCTTTCTTCATGCATAATCAGTGAGCTGTTTTTAGTTAGAAAATTAAGAAGAGTGAACAGCGTATAATAAACATCAAAACTTATTCCAGGCTTTTTATTTGTTTGAAAGTTGTAGTAGAAAAGGTGCCTTGGTAATTATACAGGTTTCCGAATGTTCAAATGAATAATGCATGTAAATTCCAACTTGCAGGGAGCCAAGATAACTTATGAAAGGGAAGCTAATCTAGTGATTGACTATTCTTCGCTCAGTCGAAATTTAAAGCAGGTGAGGTCAAGACACTGTTTGTTTGTTTGTTTGCTTTGGTTGTTAGTCTGTCTGTCAAGTTGTAAACATTGTGATTATGAATTGTGTTTACTTTGATTAGCTTGACGACCCTGCTGAAATTCGCAACATGATGAATGAACTGACTAACAAGGTGAATAAGCTGCAGACCACTTTGCAGAGGATACAGGCTCCGAACATGAAGGCCCTTGAAAAGTAAGAACTGGATTAGTTGCTAAGCAATGACACAAAAGAATGTGTACAACATGAGTAAATTGGGTTTCATTAGTCGTCACTATGCTGTAATGAGAACGCAGGGCACACGTGATGTCAAGAATTTAACGTGGGTATGACAATTCTCTGAGTACTTGTGAAACAGGAAAAAGCCAGATGATGTGAGAGAGGCAAAGGCCCTTTGCCTTGGACTACCTTGCATCACTTATTTCTTGGGTACGAAGAAATCAACTGCCAAACCAAACAAGTGTAATACAAATGTAACGCTAGCGCACAGAGCGTATTACGCTTCCGATATTTTTACTGATAGAGGTTTTGCACGGCAGCCATGTTGCATGGCAGGAACAATAGATTCTTTTTCCTATGGGAAAAAATGTTCTTCCTGATGCAAAACATTTNGCGTGACGCGGCATTTACATAACGGCCTAGAGAGCTGTCATGATGGTTAAAAAAGTGACTTATTTCGGGGAACTTGGCTATCTTAACAGTTCATGTCTCAGAAAAAATATTATTTTAATGTTTTAGAGTTCCTCGAGGGATAAATTCACGCTTTTGTAGCAAAACTCAGTGACAGATTCTTCTGTTGGTTTCCGGCCGCCATGTTGGTGACCATACGGATGGGCACCAGCATGGCGTCTCCATACAAATCTCTATAAATTTGGGAAAAAATTTTCTCCGCATATCTCCCATAAGAAAAATTGCTGTGACCAGAATTTGGGCGAGAGTCTTTGCATATTCACCTTCTTTCATTTCCTAGATTCTGAACTTTATCTATTGACCGGTTTTGATTTTTATTTTGATCTATTCTGAATGGCGTGACTCTAAAAACCAGCAATATACTCTTCTTACTGAAGTTTTTCAGCAAACCCTTAAATTAGATAATTGGCCCATTGCATGAACTGGTCACACGATGCAAACATCCTCATAGTGGATGGCAAAAAAATGTCACAGACTCCACAACAGAGCGACTTCAACCAGTCAGGCTTTATGTCACAGTATGTGGCATGGCATAAAGGCGTTGCCGATTTTGTACCATGTGAGCCATTTCTCTTCAAAGACAAAGACGTGCTGGTTAATTTTATGGTAGAGTTACTTCAGGTTTTGTTAAACTTATTGATTTTAACCATCTTGTTAAGGTAAGTGAACAATTATTTTCTGCATTATACATGTACATAAAAGCAAATTTAACTGTTCACTGTATTCGTGAAAATTTGATTTTTCATTGGAATTCTCAGTGTCTCGGTCCATAGACTTGCTAAAATGGTCTTTGTTCCCCCAACAGTTAACATTTTGCTTCTAGATAACACTTAAATGATGTTTTCATCTCCAGACTGGACGGAGTGAGTAGCCGGTTTCAAGAAACAAGTGCTGAATTTGAGCAAGCACGAAATAAAGCGAGAAAGGCGAAAATTGAGTTCGAGACTGTCAAGAAGAGTAGGTCAGTAACCATAGGCTTTGCACCAGCCGAATATCACTTCCAGAAAAATAGTTTCAAACAGAAGTAGCGTATACCTAACATGTTAAACGAAATGCCATAAAATTGCAGTCAGGAATGGACATAACATAATGTTAAGTTGTTGTTAACATTGTATTTAACGTTTTAAAAAGTCAGCGTCAAAACGTCTTACATTTTATCACCTAATATGTTGTTATCTCCTAATTTTTACAACTTTTCATTATGAAAAAATGGCACAATGGGCAAAAGACATGTCTGAACTTCGTTTTATGTTTGGGTCAAAAATTTGCGATTTATGAAGTGTTCCAGTTCAGATCTAAAATATTGCGTGTCGTATTAAATTAGTTATTCAGGGCTTTTTTGCCAATGGTTGTGTAGTTTCATGCATTTGCTGTCTTCAACACTCGGTGGCTTTCATAGACAGAGTATATTTGTTTATGTCAGTTATTTGTTTTTGTTTTTCGGAAGCGATTTTGGTACATTGGTGCTTTGTATGCCTTGCTGCTTGAGGAATACTGTACTAATTAATTAAAATATTTTTTGGCTAAGGTATGATCGCTTCATGGATGCATTTGAACATGTTTCACAAAGGATAGATGACATATATAAGGTTAGAAAATGCCCTCAAGTTCACCATTTGTTAGTTTTTGTACCTTTGTCTCACGTCTAAGTCTGAAAAGTTAAAATATAGATATATCAATGTAGGTAGAATTTTGTGTGCGATTTTTAAGAAACACTGATTGTTTTACAGTAGAAATTATTGTAGTTACCAAATAGAAGGTGGTGTTCCATGGTTGCTTCCATTATGTCAAGGCGACTGGTCAGAGACCAGCGGACTAACCGAAGTAAGTGGAACGACATTTTCCGATCAAACCGGGCCAACCAAGAGGAATGGCTTGTACCATTTTTTATTCCTTTCCCAAATTTCCTACGTAAGTGAAATCTACTGATGAGAAGTAGGGGAATGAACCGGTTTGTCAAAATCGAACGGCAGATTTCGGTCGGACCGGTCCGACCGGTAAAAGTGAACCACCTCTGGAGGTGGTCCTATATCAATTTTCCGGTCGGGTGGAACCGAAACGGTCCTTTCCATTTGACTTCCAACTGCAATTTGCGGAATGTTTGGCATAATGGGAAGTTCTCTAAGAAAATAATGCACGCTTGAGGTGTAGAAAAACTGCTACTGGACGCACAAGTTGAATGTGAGTGCTTTCAGCAATTTTTTCTAGACCTCAAGACTGCATTATTGTCTGGGAAAATATAGGAACACCATCTTGTTATGGGTTTAGAACAAAGCAGGAAAAAAGAAAAAAATTAACGTCTGAGAAGGGGCGGTGATAACGGTGGTAACACAACATTCAAGACATACGTGGTCCATTATTTCTAGTCGTACATCTGTTTGACATACAAATTCCATGTTGCTGTGCGCCTGGTCAGTAATTAATCACAGATCAAAATGTGGTAAGAAAAAAAGTGGCACATAGCGATAGGCGATAGCCGAGTGTGTCAGTGATGTTGTTCCACGACCGTGTGTAGGGAGGCTGGGACCTTAGGGGATACCGTATACCCAAGAACCAAACACGACAGCCCCTGAGTCAGTTCTATGTATTTGTTTGAGACGAAAGAACGCACTACTAATGAAAGTTTTAGTGGCGAAGTCTGAAGGACGCAGAACTATTGCGTTAGAATATTGGGAAAGGTGTTTCAAGTAAGCGAAATGCTACTTCAAGTGGCCCTTTTAAAAATACTAAGACATTGCCTCTTTCCCACTTCCCAGAGATTTTTTGGTGCTTATTATGTTTTCACATTTGCATATTCTAGGGGGTAGTAGAAAGTTATTTTTTGATCACAACATCCCCCCCCCGAAAAAAAAAGCGTGTTGTCGTGTGTCGTAATGTTTTAGACGGTAACATTTCGTTCTTAGAACCAAAACACACCTTTAAAGAGATCGAAATGGTAAGGAATAAGCATCAAGAAGATTCGACCAACAATAGAGAGAGTAATAATGGCTTATAGAAGCAATGATATCATCCTTCGGGTTGCAAGAAGCTCTGAATCAAAGGTCTCTGAATGCATGTGAAACAAAACCGCGCTAGGAAACACTAACTGCGGACAAGTTTAAAATGGACTTTCTCGTCTACGGTATGGAAATATCACTATTCAAGCGAATTTATCGCTTATAAAATTGACATTCTCTTTTAGAGGAATTGTTTTGGTGTTATAAACTTTTACGTTGTCAACGTACAGATAGCAACAACACTCATTTGGATAGCAAAATATACTTCTGGAGAACGCTTATATCCAAGTCACTATTTTTCTTGAGCATGATCTTTATGTATACTGGTATATTATTGTAACAGCCGAATGCGCGGTTGGAATGCGTTTCTACACACTTTTCGTGTTGTACGTCATCCTGAGGTGAATGAGTAGACGCGTGCTGAACCCCGTCCACTCAAGACAGCTGTCAAACACAATAGCGCCGTTTAGAGTGTTATTTTCTAGGTCCTCTATGAATACAACATTTTATTGGAAACTAATACTAACCACAATAGTAATTACTAAAGAAACGTTATGCTGTGATGCGGCTAACTGCTACCACACAAACAGAATAGAAAGCCTGTTGTCAGAATAGTCGCACTTACAATTGATTATCGTTGTTCAGGAACTGGCCAATAATCCCAGTGCACAAGCGTTCCTTGGACCTGAAGATGCTGAGGTGTGTGTGCCATGTAGTGTAGTGAAGTTCCTTGTACATCTACATTTTTCCAGCTCTTTGAATGAAATAGCAAAGAATTTAATCATTTTCCTTTGTTGTAGGAGCCTTATCTTGGAGGAATCAATTACAACTGTGTAGCTCCCGGAAAAAGGTTTTTTACTGCTGGCCTCTTGTTCTATTTTGTTGGTTCATTTTGTTGTCGCAACAAGAAAGCCTTTGTCATTTTGAACAGTATTAAAAATTCCCAAACATGCTTGTATTTGTAATATACATGAAAATTAGAACAGTTGATCTAGATTCACCAGGTGATGATAATCAAGGAAACAATTATGTGGTCCGAAATGATGTTTATACGAACTTGAAAATGAAAGGAATGGACTTGTGAATTTGACGTTACAATTTTAACGTTCAGAACTATTTTATTTACTCGAAAAAATATGTTGTGGGCAAAAACTGAGCGTATTATCTTCATTGTTCGTACTGATAAATGCTGCGTGATTATTCAGGTTTCGGCCGATGGACAACTTGTCAGGCGGTGAAAAGACTGTCGCTGCTCTTGCTCTCCTCTTCAGTATTCACAGGTACTGCACTTCTCTCAAGTCTACACATTTGCATTTCAGTACAAAAAGTCATTCTCCCAAGTGGTATTCTCCCAAGTTGTAATTTTAACAACAAAAGGATTACAAAGCAAGGAAAAACATTTATTATTTGGAACGGACTGTTTTACTGAAAACTAAAACACTCATAGAATCTACAACCACTACGTCCGGGAGCTGAATGGCGTATTTTCCGTGTACTTCTCTCGCGAGTGGCATATGGGCAAATGACGTCACGATTCCCCAGTATTGCATTGCGCATCCCTACTGTGCATAATTTCACGCGTGATTAGCGCGGCGCATTAAAAAATGGCGGCTTTTTCTTTACGGCTGGACCTCGCCAGAGAGGTAAATCGTCATTTTCTCGCAAACGAGTATGGTGACCTATAATTTTTTTCTGTTGATTTGAATTGAGTAATACATTTCTCTCTGTAAAATAAATATGGACCAATTCTCAGTGTAGAACAAAAAGCAATTGTCGGAAACGTGTATTTAGTAAGCAATCGTGACTACAATCATGGTGCCATTATAAGGATTTATTGGGTATAAACAAGGTGCTGTTGCTCCTAAACGAACATGGGGACGCCTCATTTTTCTTTCAAAATTTAAGTTCCTATAATATAAACAATCAACAGGCAAAGTTTCGCAAAAATCTCAGTGCAGGTTCTATTTCAGTGGAATGACCTTAATGAACTTGGGTTGTTGTTCGGTATAATGCCGGCTGCTGGTAGATTTGATTGGTTGAGCGACAACAAAGTAATTGCGTTTGGCAAACAACTTGAAAACAAGGACACCAAAAATAAAACGCTGTAAAAGGGTTTCAAGAAATTTCTGGAAACTTATGACGAGAAAACAGAAGTTTTAATTGGGGTGCGAAAGAAAACCGGCGAAGATTACGATTCCTCGTCTATCACAGCTTTTATCCAACGCATTTAGCGCTATTATCGAAAACGTAACTATGGATTCTATGTAATTTTAAGTACTAAAATCTCGTTAAAATTTAGTTTGCATGATTGGACGGACTATTTTGTAGTGTGCTGATTGAGCCACTATTTTTAGAAACCCAATATTTGTAAACATGTATCTCCATGACGTATTTTATTGTCGATAATTATAATAAAATAGAACAGTGCACGTTAACTCGAAGATATGAATTTTGTGTTTGAGTGGGAAGAAAAATATATCACTCACGAGATATTATTCTAGCCACTCAAACATAAAATTCATATCCTCTTACCGTGTAATATCCTCTATAGATATGTTAGTATCTTGTTTAAATTTCCCCTCGTACACTACGTGTTTTAACGAGCTCTTCAGCTCATGGGAGTGCTTGCTTGCTTGCTCGCTTGATTGATTGAGTTTATAATTGATTTTACAATTGATTGATTTTGTGATTGATTTTATAATTGATTGATTTTATGATTGGTTGATTGGTTGATGGATGGATGGATGGATGGATGGATGGATGGATGGATGGATGGATGGATGGATGGATGGATGGATTGATTGATTGATTGATAAAGCATTGTAGATTTTAACTTTCCAGGATCTTTAACAAGTGCAACTGCAACAATGGTTGAATTCGCAATAGACATTCATAGACAGGCTGTGCTGTACTCTTGGTTTCGAGCTCTGAAGGCTAGCCACTGGCTTGTGTCCTTGGCTTGTGTTGCAGTGTACTTCTGTCCGTCCAGTTTTAAAACTACTCGTGTACTTTCATGCTTTTAACTGCGTTTATCACCAGCTATTCGAACCGTAAGACTTAGTAAGAGAATTTATATCTTATAGACCCATATAGTGCAGTAGTAATTCCCTCTTATCTTTCCATATACTATGTGCCTAGCTACCAGCCTGCACCATTCTTTGTTCTGGATGAAATAGACGCAGCCCTCGACAACACCAACATCAACAAGGTGAATATTACTTTTCGATAAATACAAAAGCTAGTTGGAGCTTCAGTTTTTCCTTGGTTTTTCTCGAGTTCATTTTCAGATGAAGTGGTATAACCCCGCTGATGTCGTATTTGGTTGGCGTCTTGTTCTGTGTACGCAGCGTCAGTTCTTATACTTATGTTACTACATCGTTACAAGTAATGCGTCTATTGCTGTTCCTTTGTAGGTTGCAAGGTACATTATCAATGAAACCAAAGAGCACTTTCAGTGTATCGTTATTTCCCTGAAGGAAGAGTTTTATACAAGAGCAGAAGCTCTCATTGGAATTACTGCTGAGGTTAGCACTGCGCCTAGTTAACGTTAGCCTTTAGCCACATGTACAAGATAGGTCTTGTATGATTGTTGTCATACGACAAGACTTGATTTTACTCCTGCATAGCTTGAGTCATGTTGTTTTAAGTTTTACACCATAGACCAATGACAGCAACAAAAAGAGAAAGAGCATTTGCAAAAAACATGTACCCTGTTTTGATTTGCCTGAAGGCAGCCACATCCTTCATTCCTACCATTTATATGCCTGATTTTGTTATCAAATTACTATTTTATCTGTGATTCTTTGGTGTTCTTTTGAAAATTATTAAGTCAGCAGTTACCTTTGTATTTGTCGACGATATGTATCTGTTAAGGTGACTCAAAACAGTTTCCAGCACTTTCCAAGACTTAGATTTTGATGGGTCGTTGTAACCACCATTTATCAGTTGATGCTACAATCATGGTATCAAAAACCTGCCCAATCACCGGTGAACACGTTCTTATAATTTTCGTGACTCAATAGGTTACCATAGCAACGGTATGATCTACTAAATGCACCCTTCATTATAGCTTAAAGTGCACGGTGAAATTTTTTTATATCATCAAATTTGATAAGCATGATAAGACGCAACGTTTTGCAAACTTTAAAAAAATTCTGTTCAGAGCCACCTTAAATTTTCAGAACTTTTAGGTGGCTCGGAACTCCATGTACAGATTTTTTTAAAACTTTGCCGAAGGTTACGTCTTACCATGCTTATCAATTTCACCGTGCCATTTTTGAATTATAAGCCCCTAAGGCTGTAATTAAGGGTGTTTTTAGCGGGTCATGCTGTTGCTATGGTAACCAATTATGTCACGAAAATTATAACGTGTTCACCAGTGATTGTCAGTTTTTTGATACCATGATTGTAGGATCAAGTAATAAAGAGTGGTTATAATGACCCATTAAAATCTAAGTGCTGGAAACTGTTTTGAGCCATGTTTCATTTCCTTATTTGCAGCCTGACAAGGACTGTACTGTGAGTCAAGTGTTTACATTGGACCTGACTCAGTACCCCGAGTAGCTGAAACTACATACTGTGTAAACCCGTCCTCCACTTTGGACTTACACTTTGAACCTTTGAAGCGATACTTATATGAAGAGAAATTAGACTTGTGCAAAGATGTGTCCCGCTCCTTTATGGCTTATGAATAAATTAAAAATAACAGCAAGGCACATTTATAGAAATTAGCATCCAATGTGAGGGAATAAATTCGCAAAGGTGACATGAAAGCATTCATGTTGCGTTATTTTCGTTAATTTTCTTGCTAACATGTAAAAGTTGCCTAATGTTGTAAAGTTATGGTGTGTCTGCTGACGATTCCAAGGTTTGTTTTAAAATACGGATTATCTCAATATCCTTTTCTTTTCTGTTATCCTCTCCCCCTCTGAAGGCGGATTGTGTCACTTCCTCTGCATTAGTTTCTCCTATTTATTACCACCTGGCGGCCGGAGGCGGCTGGCTACTCCCAAAACGTTAATTTTTAACTTTCCTATAGAACCCCAAAAGTAACGGCCCACCCGAAAGTAAGTAGATTACCACTCCACCACAAAAAAACCGTGTTATGTTTGATATCACGGTTCAGCAGGGTTGTCACAGGTCAGGAAATGGTCAGGGGGAAAAAATTCTTCAAGATCATTGAAAAGTCAGGGAAAATTGATATTTGAAGAAAAGTCAGGGAAAATTGAAATGATTTAACACGGCTGATTTAATATCCTTGAACGCTGAAAGAAACAGTTGGGGCCACTGTGATCTCAACGATATTTGTCGAAAACATGTCAGCTTCAATGAGCGAGTGGAAAGGAAGGCTGTAAGAGGAGGCGAGAAGTTTGTTACTGAAACTGACATTTTGTATTTATTTGGTCAGGGATATTTTATTTTTATCGGGAAAAGTCAGGGAATTTTGAAAAGCGATGTCTGTAGCAACCATTTTTCAAACAGTATTAGTTACATCGCGATATAATGCGACCATTACTTTCGTCCTGCAGTGTGAACATTTGGGGCCTTTTTATCCTTTCACAGTATGCTTTGTCTATGTGGGTAATTAGTAACAAATGCAACCTCTATCCTAGTCTTTCTGAACGGAAACAGTACACTGTAATTAATGGCGTACCCTCTGAGAATACCAAAGTTGCACACGGCATACCACAGGGCTCCGTACTGGGGCCAATACTCCTCGCCTTAAACACAAGCGATCTACCGAAAGCGGTCAACACTGCAACGACGTTCCTGTACTGCGTTGGAGAATTTGTGGACCAGGTCGCAGCATTGCTGGACAAAACATATCAGAGCTCAAGAGAGGGTTCGTTAACAAGCTAAATCTGATCAAACGAGTCGCTTTTTACCTAGAAATTCGCTTGTAGATCTATATTTTAAAGTTGTTTTACCCTCGTTTACATATCCGCTACCAATTTGAGGGTGTTGTACAAATAAGAACGAATTTAACGCTTTGGAATCCATACATTGTAGGGCTGCTAGAGTTATATATACCCTCCCGTGCGACATCTCCTCTGAAAAGAAGAAAAATGGCTAAGTGGGACTCCTTATTCGACACTTATAACGTCAAAATAGCCACCTTAATTTATAACATTTATAATCACACAACTCCATCTTGCTGGGAACATTTAATCCAAAGGAAAGAGTCCAAGTGTGACCTCTGTCATCAACATCGTGTTAGCGTGCAACGTTTTAAAACTTATTATATGAAAAACTCTGTATCATACAGAGGATCCATTGCTTGGAATCTTTAAGAACCATCCGCTGTCAGGGCCAGAGATTATGATAAAAGGGCAAAAAAAGTCTCCCGCCCTCAGAAGCTTGAATTTTAGTGAAGAGTCACCGCAGATAGGTCCCCACACTGACTGTGATGTCGTCTTTTATTGATTTTATTATTTCTTTTTAACATTTTTCAATTTGTTATTATCCCATTAACATTTTTTTTTACACGGCCCCATGATGTACCAGTCAAATCGAAGCTTCAATATCCATACCCCGGTCATTTGACGCCTTTCCCTGCCCGGGGGGGGGGGGCATTTGATCACCACTTAANGATATTTGACGCCTTTTCCTGCACGGGGGGAAGGGAATTTGATCATCTTAGTCTTCCCGGGGGTGGGGCATTTGATCACCACTCATAAGGGGTGGGGAATTTGATCGCTAGCCTCGATTTTGTGTCACGTGTCCCGTTGATGCCACGCGGTTGATAAATCATGGCGGAGAAAAACTTTGATGAATTCAAAGCAAAAGATTGCGGATTCTTGGCGGATTGTTTGAAAACAAAAGGCCTACACAAGCTTTGTTTCGTATTATGATTATTGCCAGACATAACTAATCGATGACATCAATGAAATCAATGAGTATTCAATAGGTAATCGATAGGTAATCAGTTGATTAGTCATTGATTATTGCCGATGATCAATGAGTAATCGATGGGCCACAAAATTTTTGGTCATCGATTGCATCGATTAGTCATTGATTGCATTGATTAGTCAGTGATTTCATCCATTACTCATCGATATCATCTAGTGGCTGCAAACGTATTCGGCGAAGAAAAACGAAATTGAAACAACTTAAATGTCAACAGATGTTTCCAGCTTTATTCTTTTCAGCTTAAGTAGTACATGGAAATTAAGCTTCAGAAGGTTCTCCAGCATCTCTCAAGCTGGTTATGTAACTGCTTATGACGGATGTTTCCCTAAGCCGAAGCAGTTTTACTTTGCTGACAAACAACCACCCCCCCAAAAAAATCGATAACCACGTAGTCGATTCTTGTCAGCGTACTTGTTAGTTTCATTTTCAGACTGGTTGGTTACTGTTCAGTTGTTTTGTTATTAAAGAAAGAGTTGGGTAAAGTGAAATATTGCACAATTGAGAATCATCTGTATTTGTGATTACGACTTTCCGTCTCGACATCGTCAACGGGAACTTCAGATACAAGGAAAAATGAGTCTAACACAGATAAAAGAGTCACAAACGAAAAAAAATGGTACAAGAAAGCAAGAAAAGTGTCTTTCGTGCGCAGTATAATAGTCGAGTAATCGATGGATCATCGATGAGTAATCAATTACATCAATGAGTAATCGATGTCATCGATGAGTAATCGATAGGCCACAAAATTTTTGGGCTTCGAATACTCATCGATTACTCATTGATCATCGCCAATAATCAATGACTAATCAACTGATTACTTATCGATTACTCATTGATTACCAATTGATGTCATTGATCATCGAGTAGTTATGTCTGGTTATTGAAGAGGCCTTCAAGAAGGGAATTGAAGCGGAAGACGGCCTTATCACATTGGCTAAAAAAGTGTTGCCTTTCCTTAAATGAACCCGTGAAGATTTGGCTTAGCCATCTTCAGAGAAAGAAGGAAAACCGTGCAATAGGCATTTAAATTAACCTCACTAAACTCGTTTGGGAGTAAAAATTCTTTTGAATTAGCAACTCAAAAACGAGGTTAGTCAGGCTAATTTTAATACTTACAAAAGAAGTTATAATTGGCAGCCATTTATGAAAAGGGTCTATAATCATGTAAACTTTTATTAGTATAATTGAAATAATCATATTAGCACTCTGTCGATGTAGAACATAACTTATTTACTTATATGCTACTACTGCTGTGTCAGTGTATCAATACAAACTTTAAAATTTGCGTAGTTTTTGAAATGAACTAAAGAACTTAAAGAAAATGAGTGTAAAATATATGTTTCTATTGAAATCATGTTTGTTTCTTCCTTGCCCTTGTTTCTTTTGCCTTCTGCACTGCCACAAAAGAATTTTGAATTGGCAGCCATTTATGAAAAGGGTCTATAGATTTAATAAGTTGACATCGGAATTTGGCAACTTTTTAATTGTTTCTCTTTTACCGATGTATCCAATATTTAGCATTATTATCCAACTGCAGCGAATACCGTCCAAATAACTACAAATATACAGCGATATTGTACAGTTATTTGTACAGNTTCTCTTTTACCGATGTATCCAATATTTAGCATTATTATCCAACTGCAGCGAATACCGTCCAAATAACTACAAATATACAGCGATATTGTACAGTTATTTGTACAGTAGAAAACCTGTTTCCCGGCGCGTGCACAAAACTGTCACACACTCCCTCTTTCATTGATAAATTTATTGACTAAAGCAGTTAGATAATAAATCTCTTATTAGATCTTTTGGTGTGTAGTATCGCTTTATATTTTTACTCTTGTGTTTTGACTCGCCCTACGGGCTCGTCAAAATACGGCACAACTCGTAAAAATATACGGCGATACTACACACCAAAACATCTAATAAGATATATAAACTGGCTTCAATCGAAACAGAGGTATTAAATATACATATTTTAAATTGAAATATTCTCTACGTGTTTCTCCACGGGTAGAACATTGGTCTAGTGTAATACTTACATGCAGTTGATCCACATTGACAAAACGCTACTTTTATATCAGAGGTTTATTGGTAATTATTCGACATAAAAATTTGTCAACTTTGTTATTGGTTCTCTTTGGTTGTTACCTGTTACCTGTCCTCCCCGTGCCTCGTGGCATTTAGGGCCTTGGTTCTCTTTGGTGTTGTCTATTAAACCATGTTTACATAAACAGCTTCACAAGCATAATAGAAGCTACTGAGGGCCTCTTCGTATGAGCCCGGTAACCGGGACGAATTTTGTTGTCTGTTCATATGGGAAATTTCAGCCCCGTCTACCGGGATAAAATCCAATAAACACAACCAAAATGGTGGAACATAAACTTGTATCGTTCGTGACTGTCGTAGCTTTGTGGACTCTTGTAACTTTACTAATAAAGCTAATTCGCATAGTTCTAAAATGGAAATACATACAAGACAAAAATTATGCCATTTTTGGCGCTATGTTGCGAAAGCGAAGCCATGGCTAAAAAGTTTCGTCCTGGTTACCCGGGCTGAAGTGTTCATATGGGAAAATTTTCATCCCGATTACCGAGATCTCGGTCGAGAAAACCAAGATCTCGGTAACCGGGCCAGCCCAGCTTCTCATATGAACACATCGAAATTTTTACGAAGGAAATAGTGGCGAGGCGAGATCCCGGAAACCGAGCCAGCCCGGTTGACCGGGCTCATATGAAGAGGCCCTGAAAAGTTAAAACAGTAATCTGGTAATTTTC